AGCAGAGTCATCACATCAGCATCGATATAGCAGTTATAAATGCCGCTTTACATGAATCATTCAAGTGGCTGTGCTAAAATGATCGCCAGCGCCGTCTGTTGCGTAATCGAACCCAAAACCTTGTCCGATTTGAACGAGATCAATCTTGATCAGTCTTCCCTGAAACATTTCACTATTCATGCAGGCTGGACAATCTTCATATAATTTTGAAGCCGGTTTGTGATCGACACTTCTTATCTGCCTATGAAAGGTATGCGCCTAATACACTGTGGGGGTCCCTTAAGCAGCTACAGGATCTCCTTGATCGCGAACCTCCTTCGGGGATAGTAACGGAAGGGCCGGCAATGAGAGGTTTAGGTGACGAGGCACCCGTATTATTCATATTCAGCTGCCCATGAATTTGTGATAATAGTGGTGAAGGGCTAAGCCCTCCTAGGTGTAATGAATCTTCAACTCCGACTATACCAGGGTTCGGGTATCTACGATTAAAAGATAGGAACGAACATCCCCTCACAGCCACTCAAGTTCATTATACTGTCCATCCAGGGGATAGATGTAAATCTTTGCAAACTTGGGTATACCACCTGCCGAGTTGCTGTTATACTTTAGCACCCAAGGCCTTCGTCGTATAGTGTGACAGTCGCATCACAAGGTGTGTAGTATGGCTGTGGTTTTACGCGGATTAGAACCAAGCCACGGTCCAGGTTGCTGGCAGTTTGGGCCATCTTTCCTGCCATGAAGCCAGGATATCAGGTACTCGCTCATCAAAGGAGGCTCTGCTTGAGGCAGAACCATTGTCAAAGGACGAAGCACCAACAGCGTCACGCTCTTCACGAGCAGCCGCGTTGAGAGAGTTCGCAAGATCCAAGATACCCTGCCCACCAATGGCGGCCTCTTCGTGGTTATCCTTAATCTCGACATTGATGACATGGACAGGTCGGTTGAGCGGCGACCCCCTGTTAAGGAGATCATCGACAACAGCATCCCAGCATCGCTCTTCACAGGTGATGACAACATCGACTAGACCACCTTCAGTACCCTCGCTGCCACGGTCCTTAGCATGTTGCAGGCGAGGTACACCAACTTGCCAGTCTTGCCAGCGTTCTGGGCCCCATTTGACGCCACGGTTACGGTTTAACATGTTAAGGATGCCGTTGTTCCTATACAGCCGAGCATCCTTGGATTCAAGCTCCTTGAACATACTGTCATAAGAAGTTTTGTTAAAGTGATACACATTAGGTTGGGTAACGGTAGGCCCAGGCAGGCGGACCAGAGAACCGGTGCCGAAGGAAATGACAGGATAGTCAGCCTGCGATAGCCGTAGATGAGCTTCCATGGAGCTTCAGGATGAACATTAGCACAACGCTGTCAGAAATGAGACACGCATCTACGAACCGATTGTTGTTACTAGCACAGACAGTGCAAAACTTGAGTTTGTATCCGGTGTTGCTTTCAGATGAGCCATTCTGGCTCTGGGCCGAAGAGCCACGGTTGGCAACCTCCATATTTCCGAGTTCCTAGCCGGGCGAGAAAACGAGGTTGTTGGTTGGCGGAAAGGCGCGTGGCATGCTTTGCAGAGACAGGGCGATAGACTGTGCGGCACTGCGTTAGTGCATTGCATTCAAGAAGACGCAAGTTACAAGAGAAGTGCAGGGTCATCATCAGATAAAAAAGCGTATAAAGTGTCTTTTCAGCAAAGAAATTCAGACAGCTCCAATATGTTAAACTCATCATGAAAGAAAAGGAAATCGCGTGTTTTCCTACTTACCCAGCTTTTTTAAGTCTCAAGTTAGCACACCGATAGCCACTTCATGTCATCGTTGTCCCGTTCCTTTGGTACGCGACGCAGTCTGGTGATGTTTATTGAAAGAAGAGGTTGAGTTTTGAATTGCTGTGAAGTTGGGAAAGTTAAGCCAGGGCGAGCTAGCTTCTGGCTAAAGTCCGGTAGAGCCTAATGAGTCAGCAAACTACCTCTTCCATTCGGCTTTCATTGACCTCTGATGCCAACCTGTGCAAATGAGCCAATGACCCCGTCTTAGAACACTATGTAGTTCTGATTTTCAGGTACTAAGATCATTAGGCTGTTTAAGCATCAAGTCAAATTGCACAATATTCCTCTTGTGCGTGTTAGCAACAAAGGATATCATAGCTGCGGTCACTTATCGGCCAATAGAAGGTCACGTGTCGCTCGGATGGGAGTAGTACTATGGATGCAACAACAACTGCTTTGCCCTTGCTATGGTGTTAATGAGGGGTGGAGGGGGTTAGGCTTGGTGTACTCTGTAATAAACAGTTGATATTGATTCCTTGTGATTCTTGAAGCCACCAACAGGGAAATCTCCACCAGCGAATTTCATCTGCAAAGGCTATTGGCTTTTAAACGCCCGCATAACCTGAAACAAACGACGCTCTGGTGTAGCCAATCAACGAAGGCACCAAATTTAGCCCAGAATAGAAACCTCACGGTCACCGAAGGCACTGGCTGGTCCTTTCTGTTCACGTATGTACTCAGTATAAGAGAGCTGGGTCCTGGAAGAAGAAAGAAGAAAACTGGGGGATATTAAGTTATTGAATTTAACTCTAACTGTGAAATTGTGTCAAATAGACTATGTTGACATTCTGAGCCTCATGCCTGGTTAGTATGGTAACACCAGGTGGTTGCTATCCTGCATCTCTCTTTCACCTGTGATAACCCTGCAGACTCAATTACACTACACCAACTTGGCACCAGATGCAGAATTGGTTCCGTACTGAACGGGTTTGTGGGCGGGACTCAGAAGTCATCAAAACCTCAGCCACTGGGAGGAGATCACGGCTCGTGACCCAAGTAAAGAACCTGGGGCGAGATCATCGAAGCATCGTGAATATTAATGTAAAAAAAAAAATTTAAAAAAACTTACATACGTGTGTATACCTAGCAAGAGGATCACTACATGGCATGATGACCCTGTTCGGGTTTGCCCTGCTGCCAGCTCGCTACGTAACCAGCATCGATCTAGATGCCCCTGCCATACAACCTTCGGGGGTCTAGTTTCATGATCCTGCACGCCATGATGATAGTAATTTCCAGAAAGGCCTGAATAAACAGAGAGAATTATTTCATTGCGACAGCAACAATGCAATAACCGGAGATTACATCCATGGCAGCCCGGTCTGATCCATCTGCCAGCTGAGTTTAGTTTCCTGTGTCCATCCATACCCAGAAGAGATGAACAGGGTCACCTTTCCAGATTGAGGTTCCAACGGCCCGGGTGGGTATACAGGGAGATCCTCGCTCAGAGTTGTCGTATGTCTTGTTGGGTTTACCGTATTATGTGTGCGTGTGCGTATGCGCATGCGCATGCAAGACGACGACAGTCATCTTTTCGGGATGAACACGAGGGAGGGAGAGAAAGGATCAAGGCTTCAGAGGGGCTGAAGCAGGGTAGAGGGTTTGAAGACAAGTGTGAATGATTGTGTGGCGCCTTTGGTTGTTACAACCCGAATTTAATTAATCAGATGGGCCGGATGAGATGCGGCTCCTCCAGGGTTGGTATAGAGACAGGCACATGCTTTGTCCAAAAAGATACAGATAGGTATAGGTACTTACCTAAGGAAGTTGTTCATTTAAGACAATGACCAACTGACAGCTAAATAATAACCATAAAACCTCATAATGACCAGTAAAAGTAGAGTAGGGTATCAATGTACCGTCATCATGGAAACTTTACAATGACTTTCATCTTTGATCCTAAATTTAGGTCTAATAAATGCTGGAAATTTAGTCAAGCATACCCCTCATTTGGGAACTGCCCGACCGTTGGATGTCACATTGAGCCAACAGGAGGTCTCTTCCATTAACCCTGATATCTCTTCTCACTTGCATATTAACTCTTTACTAACATCATCCCACATCAGTCTCCTGCCTGCTAGCGCCCAGAGAGCAAGCGGCGATAACTGACAGAAACATTTCATTCATATTCGAGTCTCATTGGGCTCCTTCTCTCCGACTTACAGGCGCTGACTCGCTTGATCTAAGACCCCTGACCAGTCGGATTGGTGCGCAAGGCGCTTGCTTCAGTGGTGTGGTGCGCTATTGCGCCCAATTGTGCCCCACTACAGCCTCCAGCTCCCGGGCCCGGACGTGCCAACGGGCGACCTTACCGAGTACAGTACTGTTTCCCCCAGGTCACTTCCACTCTCGCGAGGATTGCTAAGGTGGGCAATCCATCGATTGATGGCCTTCCTCGCTCGCTTCTCTAACCCAACTTCACCTCACACTCATCACAATCCGTCTTGGGATCACATCCTACCCCAGTCCAGTCCAGTCCAGTTCCGTTCAGCCCAGGCCAGGCCCTCTTTGGTTTCTCGCCTCGCCTAGAGCGCAAGCGCAGGCATTTTTGATCAGACCCGACAGCTACTGTACAGCGTGGTGCCCTTGTTCCCGAGCACCGGCAGCAAGACCAGGGCATTGTTTTCTCTTCTGTTCTTGTTTCTGTTTCTGTCAAGTTGCTATTACTTCTGCTTCTGCTTCTCTACGCTCCTTCGCACTCCCACTCCACACTTGTAACCGACTCATCTCGTGCTTTGCCGCCTGACGACTGGTCGTCTGGCATCATCTGCATTAGGGCTTGGCTCAGCGTTGACTATTATACTTGGAACTCGACTGGAGCCCTTGCTGGCTCACGCCTTAGCGCTACGGCTGACTTGACGTCCGCCGCCTCGAGAGCTCAACTCGAACGAGACCAACTTGGAGCGTCGAGCATTACAAAACGCAAACCAAAAAAATCGCATCGAGCTCTCCAGTGCAGAGGTCGCTTTTGTTCGCCATATTTGCCGCTTCAATCTCGCTGCCGACACCTGGTTCTTCTAGCGCACCCCGTCTAACTGTCAGTCTTACTGCAGCCCCGCGAGACCTTCTCTGCTGCACGCTCATCCTTCGGCGTTTGCGCGGCCGCGTGCGCCAGATCGCACGACTGTCGCTAGGCTTTTTCCTGAAAGGCATGTCGACAACGGCAGTTATGTCTACGACTTCTTCTCCAGTGACCTCTCCTTCAGCAGCCGTATCCTCTTCTCCGAACCCTAATCACCCCGCGCTGCCACCTCTAATCACCTCTCCGCCTTCGCGCCGAAGCATACAATCGCGACCAATGTCCCACGTTTCCAGAAGCCGACTCTCTCAATATTCGACGGGCTCTCTGCCTACGAGATCCCGTCCGACCTCACATATGTTTCCGATGTTCCCCTCGACTCTCTCATATACCCAAGTGCGGGACTTTGCGTACCCTGCTACTCATCCTCTGCACTACGGGCCGCCGCCAGAACCTTCGGGGCCGCCTTCCGGTATGACAACACCCGCAAGCGAGCATCGTAGGTTATCAGATCCCCCAGTATCGTGGGAAACACGTATGCCTTGGGAATCGTGGGGTACAGATGGATTCAACCGTGGCCATGATTTGGCCCCCATTCAATTCGACGGTGGGCCCCCATATAGCGAAGACGAGGATCTACAAAGCCCTGTTGTAGCTACACGCCACCGCAAGCACAAATCAACCTCGGCAGCGACAACCCTGAGGGGGAGGACAGGTCGCGATCTTGATATGCATTCTTCGAACTATGATCGTGAGCGGGGTTATTATATGGGAACTAGCGGAGACGGTAGCGAGACATATTATGTCAATAACGGCGGCGAGGCCAACGGCCCCGGTGGAGATTTTGTTACATATCCTCCAGAGCAGGCAAGACACAGTCGGGCATATCACATTGCCCAGCAACCCCGGGCTGCCGAGGGCGGTGAGTACTATCAGCCCGAGTCTGACAGTTCCCCATCGTCTCCAGGCTACAATGACGAGGACCAGTCTCGCTATTCACGAGATTACCAGTTTACTATTACATCGCCGGACGAGGAGTTCCACGGCAAAGCCGTCGCCCTGTTCGATTTCGAGCGGGAAAACGAGAACGAATTGCCTCTAGTTGAGGGCCAGATTATCTGGGTGTCGTACCGGCACGGGCAAGGCTGGCTGGTGGCTGAGGACCCGAAGACGCAGGAAAGCGGCCTGGTGCCCGAGGAGTATGTCCGACTACTTCGCGATATCGAGGGAGGAATGAACAGCTTGACTGGTCACCTTGTGGAGGGAACTGGCTCCCCTGATGTGGGCACACCTACTCAAGCGGAGCATAGCGGTCAATATGGCCATACTCCATCTTCCAGCAATGCGACTAACGGGTACCATCAGCCAATCGTGTCGATGTTCTCGACCTCGAGCAAAGACCTTGACCCGTATCCCACTGAGCAACTAGGCCTCCACTCCGGACAACCGCCTCCCCAAGTTATTCACTATCACGGGCAACGTGGAGGTAGCCAAGCAAACACACCGACGATTGCTCAGCCTCAAGATACTGGTATTTTGAGGAGGGAGAGCCACGACGGTGGAACAAAGAGGGACTCGAATGTTACGCCAGTACAGACGAAGCCACCAATGGAGTTGGTTGAGCCAGGGGGCTGTGAGGAAGCGAGGGGAGAGGAAAGGTGATATGGTGATTGAATAATAACGAATTGCATGCCATGCTTGAAGAGACGTTCACGATTTGATGTATTCTTCTAATGGAGCGGGCGAATATACCAATAATACCACAGCAAACTCGGACCGCCGCCAGCAGGTGACTTGAGATTATGTATAAATATGCCATGTTGGCATGATGGGAGACGGCAATGTTCTCAGTCTTGTTTAAGGGCAAAAGCTATCTAGATTGGCTGTATGGAGTTATGACGGAGGACAGAGATCAATGAATAGGTACGGAGGGTTGTTGAGCTAGGTAATGAGAAAAAGGAGTTTGAAGGGAGGGGTCTACCTAGAGATTCAGAGAAGATGAAGTCCTGTTGGACGGGGTCAGTGCTATATTGCCGTAGTAAAAGGCCGATGTTTCGGTAATCTATATATGAACTCGTTAAGATACCTTAGTATATCCTAATGCACCTATCATAAGATAACCGAGTTCCCCTTGTTAATCTAGACCTTCCTTTTAAGAGCCTGTATCGTATTGCCGAAGCTAAAAAAGCTGGAAAACGGAGATAAGTTGATTAGAGATTGCTTATTGTCAAGTTGCTTGTACTACACCCCCCGAGATAAGCCATCACCCCATCACTATTAGAGCAAAACCTAGCGCTCGACTATATCCAAGCTCGCTGCATCACATCATACGACAAGCGAGCGAAGCTATCTACAGCCAGCTTCCAGTAGTTGACGTGCTTTGTCCGGGATGTCACGTGACTCATAACGTCATCGCTCGTTCCGTCGCGATTTCGGAATACCTGGATACGCCCACTTCTCTACCTAGCTCTTCAGACGATACCAGCAACAACCTCTCATTCTCTATTTTTGGCCAATTGACCTTCAATTGACCTCATAAGCAAGTCAAGATGTTCGCCCGATCTGCATTCCGCGCTGCTCAGCCTTTGAGGGTACGTTTTCTTCGTCCCGCGCACTTGCGCCCCTCCATCATGGTCTCTGTTTCGGATTATCAATCAGAACTATATCATTCTCAATTGCTCGTCGCGAAGCTCAACTAACTTACTCTTTAGTCTGTTCGTCGATATGCCACCGAGGCTGGAGGTGCTGGAGGATCCAATGCTCTCCTCTACGCCGCTGGAGCTGCTGCCTTCGGAGGTGCTGGTTACTGGTACTTCAGCAAGGGCGGAGCTCCCTCTGCTGCGGCGGATGTGAAGCAGGCCGTTGGTGTTGAGCCCAAGAAGGCCTTCACCGGTGGCGACCAGGGTTTCGTTTCCCTCAAGCTTTCAGATGTTGAGCTTGTCAACCACAACACCAAGCGTCTACGCTTTGAGCTTCCTGAGCCCGATCAAGTCTCTGGTCTGCACGTTGCCAGCGCCATTCTTACAAAGTACAAGGGTCCCAACGACGAGAAGGCTACTCTCCGACCCTACACTCCTATCAGTGATGAGAGTATGTGTAACCGAATGAGACCTCCGTAGCACAGCTGACTGACGATTGCAGGCGAGAAGGGTTTCATCGACTTGCTCGTTAAGAAGTACCCCGACGGTCCTATGAGCACACATCTTCACAACCTTGTTCCCGGCCAACGCCTCGACATCAAGGGTCCTCTGCCTAAGTACCCCTGGGAGGAGAACAAGCACGAGCACATTGCCCTCATTGCCGGTGGTACTGGCATCACCCCGATGTATCAGCTCGCTCGCGCTATTTTCAACAACCCCAACGACAAGACCAAGGTCACACTTGTCTTTGGCAACGTCTCCGAGCAGGACATTCTTCTGAAGAAGGAATTTGAACACCTCGAGAACACATTTCCCCAGCGTTTCCGTGCTTTTTATGTCCTCGACAACCCTCCCAAGGAGTGGGTCGGCAACAGCGGCTACATCTCCAAGGAGCTCCTCAAGACTGTTCTCCCTGAGCCCAAGAACGAGAACATCAAGCTGTTTGTCTGCGGCCCTCCCGGCCTCATGAACGCCATCTCCGGAAACAAGGTCAGCCCCAAGAACCAGGGTGAGCTGACCGGTGCCCTTAAGGAGCTTGGCTACAAGGAGGACCAAGTGTACAAGTTCTAAGCGAATGATGCGCATGTAATGATAGAATTGAATGATGGCGACAAAGCATAAAGAGAACAGTGTAAGATCTGCTATAGAAGCGATATAGACGACGGGATGCCGTCTAGAATTGACAAAGTCAACCTACATTTCGATTTTGAGCATGTGTTGTGATGGCGCTTAAAGCTAAGGGAAAGGTACTTGGCATGCGATTTATGCCCAAGCCTCAGCAATCCTATCATAGACTTAGGGTTGGTATCATGAGGCTTGTGGTAGAGGGACGTTGTGAGCCTATTCATTCTTGTGTTCTCATCAATCATTTTTTGTAACGATTGGTGACCCAGGGGCTCCTTAAGCAGAGGACAATCCAATCTATTGCCTGCGGCTCTAGAACGATCCTTTCATGATCTACAGCTAGAGAGCTTTATTTGCTCTTTAGCTGGCCATGATATTCTTCCTGTAACCGACTTCAAAAGATACCATGGTTTATTTATCTAGCATCTAGTAAATTATCGAATCCGTCTTCCACACCTTCCTTCCGATCACAGCTGCATTATATAACAATTCTCTAAAGAAGCCTACAGCCACCCGAGCCAAATAATGCATGTTGGACGGAAATTTTAGGTATAGTTGATGTAGTTAACTACCTAAGCTAGTAAGTAAGACAATTATAACAAGCTGGATATCTACTATATTTAAGGTAAATCTTAAGAGACTTAGAAGACTTTAGAAGACTTTAGAAGACTTTAGGAGACTTTAGGATATCTTAGGATCTATATCTATACTACTAGAAACTTAGCATGAAAAGCTCTAGAAATTTCAGATTGTGAGCCACTCTCTTCCCTCATCACCACCACCACCACCACCAATAAAGAACTATTTCACATTACTTTACACCACAACAACGCATTACAGAAGCTAAGAAACTGCTTAAACCGACTATAGTAAGTACAAGCTATATCGCGCTCTATTTTTCTTATTCTTTTATTGAGTTTTGTGGTCATGCGATACATCTCCATATTCTTTATCTGGAGTCCCCCCAGAGATCTTCAAACTCCCCTCTCCACTCTTAACCCCCAGGCTATTTACCTTACCTCTACCCAATAACCTTACTGACTTCGCAATAGCTGCCAGCCACCATGGCGCCAAAAAAGCAAGCATGTACTTAGACTCAAGGATCTCGAATACAACATCGACAAGACCAAAGACAAAGACGTCGCGAAGGCTAACGCCAAACTTGCCCTTGAGCACTAAGCCGAAGACCTGCTTTGAAGTTTCTCAAAACGGAGGAATGGGTAACAAGTGAGAAGACGCCAAGCCAGTATAGATTATACAAAATCCTGACGCTGACAGGCTGTCATCCTAGGCGAGGCAAGCATTTGCCTAGCTTCACCAAATGGTCTTCTTGCTGCGACTCTTGATTGGTTTCTTCTTGAAGCTATCTTCAGTATCAAAAATGGGGGTTTTTTACTGAAAAGGGAGGGCTTCTTCGATCGTCATAGAAGGAATATTTTCATGGCTATCCTCCGGGGGCCTGCAGCTGGCTTGCCGTCGGCGACCCTTCAGCGACCATGCTGGGGCCCCCCTGAAGCGGAGGGCAACCTATTCCATCACCTGCGGCTCCGGAAGGACCTTCTCATTAGCTGCTAACCTCGCTGTAACTCGGTCATTCGGTTGGTTAGTCAGTCAGTCAGTCAGTCAGCCAGCCAGCCAGCCGATCGGTACTTCAACCTCTGCCTCTTGCCCTGATCTGTGAATAGCTTCACTTTAAGGGAAGGCCCCCTAGGTCTCTGACGGGCCAATGGCCAGTCTGGTCGACTAAATCTAACCAACAACCGAACTGCTGATTCGTTGGCAAACTTTAGATACCACACGTTAAAGAGGCAAAGCCAAAAGGGACCCCCAAAAGGGACCCTTCTTACTACCTAGGTACGTTCTCAAGTCATTCTTCAGTTGCGGCTTTGCTTAATAAAGGAAATCCTGAAGGACACCGGACGTTCACAGCCGCAGCTTCACTTTGGCATGTGGGTAGTTGTTTCGGCCATCTGGCCTAACAAGCCTGTTGTCGTTAAGCTTGCATCTGTTATGTCTAAGCACTGGGGAGTCGAATTCCCTGGGACGGCGCCATGGTTACCACCTGGTCTGTCCGACGAGACCATTGAAAACAAATGGAACTGTCGTGTTCCTAAGCCTACTGAAGCAAAGGAAGACAACAAGAGCAAGAAGGGAAAACAGTGAAAGAACGTCGACGAGTCTGATGATGAAAGCAACGAAAAGTCTGGTAATGAAGAGGACAGAGAGCCTGAAGACAAAGAGGTCAAAGGATCTGACAACAGCAATACTGGTGAGAAACGGAAAAAAAAAAAAAAAACGAAACGCAGATCTTTTAGATGAGGCCCAAGAGATCGAAAGGCTTTCTACACCGAAAAAACAAAAAAACAGACAGCAAGGCCATACATATCGACCTCGACGACGAAAATGAACCTGATTTCGACAGACTGAACGATATGGAACTGAAGGCACTACTCCTCACAACAAACCAAAGACTAAACCAGGCAAGAGAAAGGGCAAACGCCGAATCCGAAACCAACAGCAAATTGATTAGACGGAACCAACACTTGGAGTCTGATATTCAACAGAATGCTGAGTCCAATAACAATAAGCTCAAGAAACTGTATTCAGAAAACAGAGAGCTTCAAGTCATCAAGTCAAAGCAGTTTCAACTTATTGAAAATTTCAAAAACAGGATCCAGAAGCAGGATGATGATTTATCCAACACCGAGGCTAAGTACAATAAGTTTGATGACATCAAGCTTAAATACGACAACAAGGTGGTGGAACTCCTGGACGCTATTTCTAAACGGATAGACGCTGAAACCCAACTCAGCGTTGCCCAGCCAAAACAGGAGGACACCGAGATTGAACTTAGAGAAACCAAGTCTCAGCTAGAAGACATCTCGACTAGACTTCAGGGCACCAAGGTCCAATGCAGTGCCAATTCAAACCATGAGGACGTTGAGGCCAAACTCAAAAACACTGTTTCCCAGCTCGATGTTGCCAAGTCAAAACAGAAGGATGCTGAGGCTATGCTCAAAGTCACTGTGTCCCAGCTCACCCAGGCCCACGATAGCGAACGGATTCTTCGACGACAGATCATGACCTTAGAAGACACGGTCAGGGGCTGGCAACTAGCATCAACACAGGCCGCGCAGGCCGATACAGGTATTCTCGCCCTATCACTTCATGGATTAACCACACAATTGGCAGATAGATTCGACCGGGTAGAAAACGCCATGGTAGAACTCGCAAAGAAAGGGTAGGACGGGCTTGACACTATGACAAAGCAGCTGTCCAAGAAGGACAACTGATTGATTGCAGGTTTAAGGGTAATGCATGGGATTCTGATTTTGTTTTCGGGCTTGCCAGGGGTATAAGGCAACAGACACAGCACGAAACTGTTCACGGGATTCTGATGTTTTTGGGGGTTTGCTTTCGGGTTTAAAAGGCGTATAAGGCAGGAAAACAGACATAGCACATAACGGCGGTAAACAGGTACTCTAAAAATGTATGACACTTTGCTAAATTCTGCCGTATAAATGACGTAGCACGAAGACTTGCTAATCAGTTTCACATTTGAGCATAAATAGCTATAGATCCTAGTTCGGATCCAGGACCAAGCAGCCTAATCCGAAAGGCTGTCAATGGCATTGTTAATGGAGCGTCCAATAATGGCTGACCACTTGAGACCGTTGATGTAGTCCTTGGCGTCGATGCTCTCAACCCAACCAGGGAAAACAGCTAAATAATCGTCAGCATTTGAGCTATGTCCAATTCGTTTAGAGACTCACCTCCAGAATAACCGGTCCAGATACCGGGCGCAAACACAACATGCTTAAACCAGTCTCGACCATCCAAGCCTCCTTCGTAGAGGAAGCTCCTTTCGAGCAACTTATATCTCCTGTTGACCCTGGCGATGGTATAGCCGAGCCGAATCTTTTCAACAAGGTTCCACCACGGGATGCCTTGCTCAAGCTGATGTTTGGCGATTTCAGCTTCAGCGTCGAGCTCGCTAGCCTTCAGGTGGAAGTGTTCAAGGAGGTCACGAATATCCTTGAGGCTCGTCTTGAAATCGTCCTCGTTACCAATCGGCTTGCCTGATGAGACAGCACCACGGATATTGAAGATATCCTGCTCAGTAAGAGCGTCCTTGGTAGGCTCCAACTTAGCCTCGACCTGGTCAAGATAGCCCCCCAATGCATCAGCGTACTCGGTAGCACTGAATGGAATAATCACGGTCCCAGCAAGTTTGGCAATGGTCAGACCAAGGATCTGAGCCATAGTCCTGTGGTACTTAAATCCAACGTCACCGTACTCCTTCATCCAGTAGAAGCTGTCATAGTTGCTGTGGTAGTGATACACAGCACTGTTACCTCTCTCCTTGAAACCAAAGTCAATACAGGGAATACCAGCATGATCTTGGAACGCGGTGAAATCACTGCCACTGCCCATGGTAGCGATCCTGCCCGACCAGAGGTCATTGACTGTCTGACCAGGGATAGTCTGATTGGGCGAAGGGACAGCGCTTGTGACGTCGCGGACGATCTGATTGAGGAGAGGAGCTGCAGAAGCAGTAAACTCGGGACCGCCGACGCCGACGTCGACATTGACGTAGGCGATATTTGCTTCTGTGAGCCATGGGAGATATTCCTCAACCCATTCGGTACTGCCGATGAGTGAGTATTCCTCACCATCCCAGCTCGCGAAGACAATGGTTCGGAGAGGCTTCCAGCCAGCCTCGACGGCCTTTCCAACTCCTCGAATGACCTCGTTGATGACTGCAGAGCCACTGTTAGGATCGCCAGCCCCGCCAGCAATCCAGGCGTCTCGGTGGTTTCCAACAACGATAACTTCATTGGGAATAGTACCATTGACGACGCCGATAACGTCCCACAGAGGGGTAGTGACATATTTCTGTTCGTTGTAAAGATTGATAACAACATCATCCGGAGTGGGACCGATATTGTATTTGATGCCCTTGTACTTGAGGCCGAGATTCCTGTTCCAGTACTTGTTAAAGTGGGTGGATTTTGGACCGTGACCATTGAGGGCTTTGAGAATCGGGAGGGCATCACGGTATGATATAGGAATGGAGGGGATAGAAGGGGTTGCATCATCGACTGGTGCTCGGGGAACACCAGGCTTGGAAGGATATCCAGGGGTAGATCTAGAAGGTCAGTCAAGTCTTTTCTTTCAGGATTATGGGGACATACGGATCGCCAGGGCGAATGCTCAGAAACTCTACGCTTCCGCGCTGAACAGAACTGGGGTTACGTGCAGGCCCTTCAGGGTAAGGCTTGTACCCCTTCTCCTCGGTCCTTTCTCCATCATCACCAGGGTCACTGTAGATCAGAATGCCAACGAAACCGAGTTCTTGTGCACGTTTGACTTTGAGGCCTCGAAAGATTCCTCCATACCGAGCAATAGCAATCTTGCCCTTGATATCAATTTTGGCATCAACAAGATCTTGATAGTCTTGATAAGTACCATAATTGACGTAGACGAAGGAAGCAGTGACATTTCCACTCGCCGAGTAGCCGTGAAAGATGGGCACGCGGTTTTCGAGGGACGTTGTGGGATCTTGGTCAATAACATCTTCCTCGAGAGAGGCCTTGAAAGTGGTATCCCAGTCTTTTCCGTTCTTCGATTTCTTCAGAATCGAAACGCTAGAATCGACGGGGTAGTTGAGGTAGGCGTCATAAGCCACGATCTCAGACTTGACACCGAAATTTTCCCATCGATCCCTGGTCCATTCGGCCTGGAGAAGATGAGCTCAATAACTGAAGCTGGCAAGCTATTATGAGTCCTTACCTGTGAGTAGTTGGCGCCGGCCAGATGGGGACCGGATGTATAGTAACGGCTCCATTCCTCAGCCTTCTTGGGGTCCGGCGTATCTAAGAGGATACGCTCGAGTTCCTCATAGCTTAGACGGCTCTTGCCGGGTAACCAAGAGCCAGGGTGGCCATGATGATGACGAGGCCCAATGAAAAAGGTTTGTAACACGAATAAGCCAAAACCGCCGAAGAGAATCACGGAGCAAATCAGAGTGAAGAATCGACGCCAGGTCTGGTGAGGATACCTCCTCCGGGGAGGGCCCACCCGAACGGTTTGGATGAGAGGCGTGTTCTCGTCTGGCATCTTCTCCTGCTCCTGATGGGAGGAATTACTGAGTATTGTGGTTTAGTATAAGCCTCAAGCCTCGATGGTGGATTTAATCCAGGTTGGATGACGATGTCCGGAAAGTGGAGGGAGATAATGGTGAAGGTCCTGTAGGTGTTGAACTCACATCCGACTCATGATGAAGGCGTCTTGGCAGCTCCAGGGGCCTTTTAGATTTATTTACTCATGTGATGGGAACCTGAATAATGATGTTGGTCGAGGTTGTTACGTGAAAGGAACCCGGGTTGCAACAGGAAGTTGTACTCCGTAATGTGATGTGATAGGCGATGTTGATGACGAAACAGACTCTGAAAGGTGATTGGCCAATGCTATCATGCAGTGGCGCCGCCACCCCCAGCCTCGGCTGAAGATGATGAAATGGTACTGCGTACTCCGTATTTAGCATCCATTCAGAGTTGAAGGAAGAATGAATAAAGAACTTTCTCTATTTAGGATAATAATATTAGAATATCTTTAGGTACTCGAGCCCTAAACTTTGGATGACATTTACTGTGTTAGTCCTAAGATTTAGAGTCGTTTTATTTATAAATTATCTACGAAGTATCTTTATCTTACAGCTGTAGCTGTCTCTTTTTTGCCTCTGGTACTCTAAGTTGTTCAAGCGGAACTCGATAAGATATGCAATAGAAGGACATGGAACTGGCCTACCAAATGAATGAACCTCGTTTCTGTGTCACAAGTAAACAAAGCTCACAGAAATCCTTCAAAGATTGATCCGCAGGCAAAGCCAAGTGCTCGGCACGGCAATAGAGCGGAGACGAAGCGGGGAATATCTGGAGGCTTGCAGGACGGGATGACTGAAGCACTTTATTAGGGCGCTTCCGGCGCCGCTTTCGGGGGGCGGCAGAAGACAAGCGACAAGATTGATGATGGTTGGCCCCGGACCGATCGAGGTAATCAAGTAACAATGGTTGCAACCCAGACAAGCCGAGTTTGCCTTACCCAAGCTACCAAGCTAGCCAAGCAGCCAAGGTCAAATGATTCTCGCCTACAGAGTAAGACTTTCACTGCACCGACCTCATATTGCCGGACTGTCTGTCCATAACTACTGGCACAAGTCGTCCTGTGCGTCATAATATCTCACCCGTGTCTCACAGAAAGAATCTTCCCTGTCCCTCGGAAAACAAGATGGTAGCAAAGCCCCGGGCGAATATGCACTGCAAAGTGCTCCTGTGACCCCATCATTTACCACTGACCAGGCATTCACATCTACGGGCTTTAAATCTGCGGGCCATTTTGGAAAAGTTGGGCCCAATTTCTTCCAATTATCAGGCTCCTGACCGCAAAATTGCCCCAAAACACCCCTGCTCGGGTTCGTCCTCTGGAGGTTGGAGCAGTGGATCGGAACCCTTTGCTGCACTATACCACCCTGCCGTGCCGACCAAACCAATTCTGGCCTCAATGGTCCATAATTATCTCTTTTGGTGGCTTGCTTGGCTTGACCTGACTTCTTCTACTACTTTGTGACTGTGACTGTGAACCAAAACTTCTTCTTGTTTTCCTCCCTTGTTGTTTGGTGCAAGAGTTGAGATATTGATGAGTTGATCGTGTGAATCGTATATCCAGATTAATCACCCCTCGTGTCGCCGTCTCGTTGTACATGATACTCGGTGGTCTTTGTTAGAAACAAGAAAATTTATTACTTCCAACCTCTCCTCTCCACTATTACTCTTTGCGCAATCGTTCCTCCCGATGACGACCAAGAAGGACGGTCCAAAGCTGCCCAAGCAGCAGCTGGCAATTCTGGGTAAGTTTTAGTATTTTATCATTTCATGGATACCTGTAAAGCCCTTGGAATACCCTTGCTGTCTTTTCACTTGACCTGCTTGGTATCAAGATGAAATATACGACCATGGTTCACGGTCCGAACACCATGAGCCTCAACCCAACACCGAGTCATTCTCGTTCCCCATTATTCCCGTGCAAAGGTGTTCTCCCATTTATATAATTTGATAGAGCGTTTCTCATCAACAACAGAGGCACTATATATAACATGGAAATACACATAACCCATAGAGACATCATGGTCCAGTCCAGGTATCCCGCTCCATCCGATCTCCGCTGACCTATCAATAGCCATGGCCAGAATTGCCGAACCCATGGCCTACAGCTCAGTCTTCCCATATCTGCCCAGCATGGTCAGCAGCTTTGGTGTTCCTACCAACAAGGTTGGAAGTTGGGTAGGAATCACATCTGGTGTCTTCTCTATAGCACAAAGCACCACTGCAGTGGCTTGGGGGAAGGCTTCCGATATTTATGGTCGAAAACCGATAATCATCTTTGGCCTTATGAGTTCAATGATCTGCTTCATAATATGGGGCATGTCAACGAATTTACCTATGGCCATCATTGTCCGAGCCATCATGGGAGGTGGAAACGGAAATGGTGTGTAAGGCGAGAGCTACACAGAACTCCTCACTAATATCCTCTAGTTGGAATCATCAGAACAGTGGTTGCTGAGCTGGTGCCTGAGAGGGAACTTCAACCAAGAGCATTCTCCATCATGCCTATCGTGTGGAGTTTGGGTTCCATCATCGGACCCAGTTTCGGGGGTCTCTTGGCTGAACCTGCAGAACAATACCCCCAAATCTTTGGCCATATCGAGTTCTTTAAGCGGTTTCCCTTTGCGCTACCGAATCTGATTCTCATGGTTTTCTTTCTATTCTCAGCTACCATTGCAGCCCTGTTTCTCCATGTAAGTCTGTGTTAAGGTTGACTGCGCATCATCACTAACAAATCTAGGAAACACTCCCTAGCAAGCGAGGACACCGGGATTGGGGTCTCCTGGTAGGCGAGCGTATCACTCGCTCTTTCAAGACCACTCGTCCAGCCCCCTCTACCCGTCGAGCTTCGTTTGTAGATGGCGAAGCTACTTCACCGCTTCTTCCTAACAAGACAGCACCAAAGAAGAGGACACACGAAGCTTCAGAGCATGCAAAGAAGGAACGCGTCCTTACCCGTGCAACAGCCATGAACCTTCTGATTTACACACTTCTCGCATTCCATTCCGTGGCTTACGATCAGATCCTCAGTGTCTTCCTCAGACACCCAGTTGAAAAGCATACTCCTGAGAATACCTCATTTCCCTTCTACTTCTCAGGGGGATTTGGCATGAAGCACAGTGAGGTCGGCACAATATACACCATCTATGGCATCGTATGTTGTGCTGTTCAGTTCCTGATCTACCCTTCAATTGTTGCCCGCTTCGGTGTTTTGCGTTGCTTTAGAGTCTGCTGTAAGTTGAAAGTCATCATTATCGAATTGCTGGGTTCTAATATCTTCCAGGTCTTCTCATGCCACTTGCTTACTTCCTCACCCCTTACTGTGTTCTATTCCCGACACACAAGGGCCGCATGACCGCTCTCATGGGTGTTATGTTCATCAAGGCTGCTGGAATCATTATCGCATTTCCATCTGTCACTATCCTTCTGACAAACTCCTGCACTTCTCTCCGTGTGCTTGGCACGCTCAACGGTTATGCCACAACCTTCAGTGGTCTAGGTCGTGCACTTGGTCCAGCTTCGACAGGCGCTCTTTTCACCTGGGGCGCTGATCATGGTTACGTTGTAACTGCATGGTTCTTCCTCATGCTCATTGCTATCCTAGGTACTATCCCGGCTTATCTTGTTGAAGAAGGAGAGGGCCCTTCCGCTTCCGCTTCGAGCTCAGCAGAGAATAGTGACACAGAAAACGACCAGGCTTCGTCTTCGTCAAGTACGATATTGTTGCCTGAAGATTCCGCGATTGAGTCTGAGGAGGAAGAGGAAGAGGAGCTGCCTTTAACCAAGACTAAGTCAAGGTCTGTAGAGCAAAGCTACGGAACTATGAGCGGACGAAAGTGAGGTATTGAGGTTATCATATACAGCCTTCGGTAACTTATTTTCAAGATCACCATCAGCCTTTTACAAGGCCATCAGGCTCTTGGCATTTCCTAGAGACTGCACTTATAATATACAATCGGGTATTCAGAGCATCCTTCAACATCCTTAGGGTAGGTATGTCTAGGGTATAGGGGGGGTATTCCCCCCCTCAAGTTTGCATCTCAGCCTCGAATGATACATCTAAGCATCTCAGAAGTCTAATATAATTTAAATATTTATTTATTAATCCCTCAGGCGGCAAAGCCATTAAGGTAACATCATCAAAGTTAGTTGCCTCAATTGCATCCTGAACTTAACTGCATGTAAGCCTGTTGGGGAGTCTTATTTGCTTTTCAGCTGGCCCGCGTCTAATGACGGAAGCAGTTGATAATAAAAGCGCTGAATTTTTCTTGTATTGCTACCAAATTGTAGTTCATACAAATCTTTCATGATGCCACCTTTTCAATCTTCGCTACCATGATGTATTGATGTCCCATCCTGCACAAAGAAAATCCCAGCCTTTGGTATAATGGTAGTTTGGTACTTTTCCCACACAATCGAAAAAGAAGCCTCGCAGCGCCTATATCACTACTCGACGTTATATGATGTTCCCTTGCCCTGCCCGTGATGATGCTTCCGTTATCAACGCCCATGTAATGCCCACTGCCGCGCTGTAAAAAAGGGGGAATCATATTGTAAAAGACCAAGCAAGCCCATAAGATAATCTTGAGATTAAAAAGAAATAAGCAACCTCCCGTGGTAAGTTTTGATGTAAATGCTTGTAATGTGTGAAGAATGGATAGTCATGATCGCTATGACATATAATATCAGCATTGCGGTCATCTGAGCCGCATACCTGATCAGCTAAACGAACAATACGTGGGCGACCTTCGAGGGTCACTTCCACGCTTAGTAAACGTATGGTGAGATTCCTCTCCGGACATCGGGAGCTCTGTACCCCTCTCGCCCATGTCGGTCCCAATCATGAAGATTGGGATGCGGTTGTGGATGAAGTTCGGTTAGGTAGTGAGCATCCCGCTCTCCATCCTCCCATCTCTCACTGCGCCATGGTACCTTGTGGTGCTCGTCTGCACTTCGACTGCGCACCTGGTGTTGATCATGCACACAGGAGGGATGCTCGCGAAAATGTTCCAGATCAGCGTCCATCTCACTGAGTCGCAGGTAGCTGTGTCCAACCCAGCGGTCGATCGTATCTGCAATCTGGCGGAAACCCTCGGTATGACCACCCTCGTGGCGGGCTTTGAGACCACATACCACAAAGAGATAGCTGTGGATCATCTCATGTAAGAATGTCGAGATGAGAAGCCGCCGGTTGTACTTTGTATCCTGGAGGATAGGCGATGAAAGTACAATAAGTGTCTCGTAGCCTCCATCACGGGAACGTCGTACGGCTGTGGTGCCAACAATGTGCGCCTGATACTGCGCGCTTGCAGGGTGACTCCAGTCCCATGCGACACGACCAGCAAGACGGTTGCAGAAGAAGAGTTCGTTTGCAGCGGAGAAGATGCTGCGCAATGCGTCGTTGTCCAAGGGGAATTCTGCTGCACGAGACTTTGGGTTGATGAGCGCTCTCAGAATACGGCCGTGGCGTGAGTCGGTGGTGCGATGCCTTCGACGACTGGAACCAAAGTTGGCAACGTGATCACGGACTAGACGAGCGGCGGCGAGGTCACTCAACAATCCTGGGTCGTTTTCATCAGCGGCAGGTGATAGACTGGCGAGTGATGGCTGAGTGGTATCGGAGGAGATAGAGAGACCCGATGCTGTGCGTTCCATAGCGCATGCATCGGCGACGGGAGCGGGTGCCGGAGCGAGTGCCGGAGCTGGACCGGAAGGGCCGAATACAGGTCCCGGCCGGGATTCGGGAGCTGGACCGAAGGCGGCATCGATAGAGGGGAAGTCGGGTCCTTCTGGAGTTGGTGAACGTTCGCGAATGACGAGAAATGAGAGGTTCTTGACGGGAGCTGAGTCAGGTCGATGGATCAATGGAGGGTAGTTTTCAATGGCTTCGTTATATAAGAATTCGTCCTCATGATCAAAAGGGTGATTGTGCGGATATGCTTTGTTGATAATGTGAACTCCAGAATGGAATGCCGGTAGTGGTTGTGGATAATAAGGCGATGCATGATCTGACGAAGCATAGCCACTTGGTGCGGCTGCAGCTACAGCTACAGAGATGGGTGCATTGTCGTAGGGGTCGTAGGGGTCGTAGGGAAGCTCATCGGCGAACCTGGTTCTTTTGGGATCAAAAGTGAAGCCATCGCCGCCTTCGGAGACGCTCACTCGCCTTTTACCACCCACATAGTAGGGACCCCGGCCAGTAGCAGCAGCGGTAGCGGCAACAGTAGCGGTAACACCAAGCGGACGACCCCCGTCAACCACCCAAAAGGCCATGGGACATGCTCATCGACCTGAGCCGGGGGGTGGGTGGTTTTGTTGGGAATTGATAAGCGTAGAGAGAGAGGATCACATAGGGGGTTGCAGTATGTGATTCTCCGAGAAGCTTGGACAATTTGGAGATGATTTTTGCTGGTGAAAGAAGAGAGTTTTGAGTTGAGGGATCGATGTCGGTGAGTCCGATGGACGGTCTTGGGGTGGCGGATTTGATGAGACGAGATGGAGACGACGCGTGAGCAGTCCAGTTGCAGCGCTGTCACAGTCGCAATAGCACCCCGAGGAGCCCAGTTAACGAGGAGACGGACGGACTGGGGGCGGTCGGGTAGGAATTGGATCCGAAGAATGGAGAAGAGATAAGAAAGAGAGAAAAGATAAAACAAACCAGAAACAGAAGAGACGATAATAATGATGATAATAATAATAATAATAAAGTCTATGTTGAGAAATGCATTCAAGGATCGAGAAACTCGATGGTCTCAGACCTAGAGCTTGACCGTAAGTTCTCTTTGGTAACCTCCCGGTCTGATACAAGACAGTTACAGTTACAGCAGAGTACGGATACAGCACAACACAACACAACACAGCAACCTCAGCTCAGCTGCTGCAATCGCGGGACGAGCCAGGACCAAATATGATGATGGAATGGACCCCATCCACTAACTTATCTCGTTTTCAGGGCGATCGATTAGTTGGTTTTAGTCCCGTCGCTGTTAAATACCGGTCGCCAACTGACAGGGCCTAGCAGTACAGGGGGGGGGGGGCACACACCCCTGTCGGCCTCATCACAGCCCAGAGTCAGTGTCTTTTGCGCTGGGGAATCCTTGTCTCTGGTGGTTTGTGAGGCGCTGAAGGACATTCAAATTGGTTCGAGATCGGATGTGGTGGGAGGCGGCATGGATGACAATGACACGACAACTGTGAGATGGACCGTTCAGTGGATTTAAGAGGCGCCTCACTTGAACTACTGGATGATTACAGAATACCACTTGAGCCTCCATGAGATTTATTGACATTACCAAGTTGATTACAGCCATCAATTACTTGCGGTTAGACTGAGGAACCCTGCCTCGTTACTTGAGATTGCTTCCATCCTCCGTTCCGTCGCCAACCCTCAACTGGCATGGCGTCTTCTACACCTTGGCTGCGTCTGTGTTTTATTTCTATTTCTATATAGCGGTGTAATTGTACACATTCGCCGATATTTCTTGTTTCTCTACACTACAGTCCACTGTGTCACGATAGTTTCTCGCACCAAGTACAGCAGTCCCTTTCCCATCAGTCGGACGAGATGCGCCCGTTTTTTCTATAAAAAGGAAAACCCGGCCGAAACAGTCGGACTGACTTTGATCTTCAGGGATTTACCCATTGAGTTTCCGAATCCAGGACAGCACCACATCAGCCACTGTCGATTACTCGAGGCCTCTTCTCCAATGATCGCTGGCTCTTGGCATGATAGACAACGGCACATGAGCTTAAGAATCAAGACCAAGACCTGGCTGGAGCTTCATCGTCTAGCTTGGGAGCAGGCTTCCTCACAGCAAGGCGAGCTAAAACGCCAGGCACTGACTGACTGACTGATTGACTGACTGTCAAGCTGACAACGCACCACGGTTATCTCCACTACCAAGTCCACTTCCCGTCAAGGGTTGACAAGCACCGCGTGTCCGAGGCCGGGATACCCTTTTGGATCTGGCTGCAATCATGCGCGTATGAGCAATTGGCTATAGCAGAGATCCATCTGTGCTTCACAGGGCTTACTGCCTACCCCTATTGGCGATTACTGCCTACCCCTATTGGCGATTCTCACTGAGGCTCATACGTGGTTTCTTTAATGTCGAGAGCCCAATACAGCATTGAGGCCTTCTAACTTATCCCGATAAGCAACAGAATCTGCCGTCTTGACCTGTCCGTAAGCGCTCACTCTGCCGAGACCCTCATTGGCCAGGGGTTGTATATCCCTGCCCGCGATTGGTTGCCCTGGTTTTCTTGAACTTCACGTCAATCGATGCTTTTCCTTTCCCTGGCATTTCTGGAAGTCTATTCGTTCCATGTTTTGCAAATAGAAGAACTGGTAATTAATGAGACACCCGGGTTCTCTTCAAAGCACGGGCTCTCTGCAATCAAGCCGCTGTCGTCAACTTGAGATCTGTGAGTGCGAGTGACAGCTTGGTATGACATGCCATGACATGCCATGCAAAGCTAGCTTGGCCCTTCGATATTGACTGCCAGGGATATCGTGGACTTCATCTACGGTCTACGGAGTACACCGTAGAATTGCCGTGCTTCTGGTATCGTATCGTCTCATCTGTCTCTTAGCCTTAGCTTAACTCTCGAGACTTGGATTGTGCTCTAAGCACGGTGCTCTTTCACTCCACTTCTTCTGGTACCACCGTATAAGATGGATCTCGTAAATACAGATTCAGGGCCGTCCTCTCATCAAGGTCGATCAAGACAATCTCAGTCCATCATCATCATCAGCTTCGCCTAATTCTGACCACAACTATAGCACTAATGTCTTGCTTGCATAAATCAGCCCTCATCATCTTGCACCCGGATGCAAGTATCCTTTTCCTGTGTAGTATGCCGATGTTACTAGCTTTATGCTTGTTAGTTTTGCTCATCATTCATTCCTAGTGCCCGCTCAACTACCATATCCACCAATTCTTCGCCACGCGCCTCATTATCCAGTGTTGACTAACGTTTCGACCCCAAAAGACCCTTTCCCCACCGACGATCACTGTGTCTCGTGATGGAGATATTGTGCGGCACTCATAGTCAAAAGATTGAGTTATTTTTCTATGTGCCGGGATTGCTTATTTCTTTTGTTAGAGCCTCCTTTTCATCCTAAGTTCGTAGCTCGACAGATCCTCTCCATATTTCGCAATGTCGCCGAAAGCCTTCCCCATTATCGCACTCTCAGATCCAATCGCCCTCTTTTTTCATTATAACCCAAGTCCTTGAACAAACCTAGCATCGTCGGCCTGCTTCTCCAGTGCTTCCCGCATCCTTTGAGAATACTGCTGGCGCTGATGCTCTTCTACCGCGACCTCCTTGTTCTTTTCCCGGAAATCGTCGGGCGTGAACAAGGTATCTCCTGTGAAACTAACCATACCAAGCTTATCTCCCGTCCAGAAGATGACATTGTCTTCGTTTGGTCGGTCACGATCTTGCCTTGTCTTGGTGGATAAGATCTTCCTTGCGAGATCGTCGGACCCTGGCATGGAAGCGAAGAGTGATGCTTGAGTGGGCACGTCACTGTGACCAACCTTGATCCGACGGCACTCCGTATATCCATCCCTTTCAAACCACTTAATCTGCCCGGCCCCATCTGAGAATGCAACTTTTGTTCCGTGGTTGATCACCGACAGGATGATGGATGAAGCTGCAGTATACCGATTCTTCATAGTTGAGTTCTGCTGCATGGGCCCGTCACTTGATAGGTCGACAGCGTCCAGGCCATATATCTCGAGCGAGCCTTTGGTTTTGTACTCTCCGCCTGCGATTAGAGTTCTCCCACTACCCGCTGTCTTGCACTCATGAACCCTCTCAGCTGTGAGTTCTCCGCGACGTCGTACTTCATGGTCCAGCGTGGAGAATGGATAAGGCAGTGCTGCCAGACTGGACAGCCTTGAGCCTGAGTAAATGGACCCCATGATCTTTGGGAAGTGGCGCCTATCGTAATGAAGAATATTGGAGAATCTCCCCGCCACGTAAATGTCGTCCGACACTGCACTGTCGCCGGCTGGTCTTGGTAGGTGTAGAATGCTCGTTGGCGTTGGCTGAGACAGTGAGGCGTACGGCGGTAATGGATTCGGATCAAATATTCCCTTGAAAGGATTGTCCTCCTCCCCCGGGATATCTAACCTCTCCACGGCATCTCCATGGAATTGTGATGGCGCCCTGAAGTCTTGAAGATGGATACCCAATGAAGTGCCAACAGTCATTGGGATACCATCCTGGATCTGTGACAAGGTCGTGATTGACCACTCGAAAGAGTGACGGTTTACAACTTCAAGGCGGCTGAGATCGACCTCGATGAGATCTACAATTGCGGTTATTAGTGAGGGGCAGTTGATTATCGTTTCGGCACTTACGACTCTGCACAGCAAAGACAGCCCTGTTGTTGCTGTTATTAACACTGACGCATTCAGTGACACCTGTGTCGATCTTTTTGGACCGCCTCGTGTTCTGATCTCCACGGCCATCGAAGAATAGGATGTCCGGTTTACTGGTCGCGATAATGCCCCCTCGCTTGCCCCTCGTGCCATTAACGTCCCAAAGACATACAGACCCGTCGTCGAGTGGTGAGACAGCCATCAAACTGCCGATGCCATCATCGCCATTGTTAGGGCTGAATAGGGACATACCTCTGACCTCGATGAAATGCTCCATAGTGCCTTGTTTCAAGCGTGGCGTCTCAAGCCAGTTGATAGCAGGCGGTCCCTGACGCTGGATGTATTCGTTATACCACGAGACATGCTCGTCAGGAAACGCCGGATCCCAGTTTGCCATATCTTGAAGGAATTGGTAATGGCGTTTGTCAAATCGACATGAATCATCTTGGTCCAGTAGAGAACCATTTTCGTCTTCAGCTTCTGTGGCATTGCTTAAAGATGGCTCGGGTAGAGATGCAAAGACCTTTCTCCGATTTCGAAGAAAGGCATACCATGATGAGCGCTCAAAGCAGTGGTGTTTCCACAATTCATCATCAAGAACAACTTCTCTAAAATTTCGTGAAACAAGCTGAAGTTTGGGCAATTGATGAGGCTCAAGGTCTGATGAAGCAAAAATACACGTGGTCAGTAAAACAATTGGCATTGATTATGGAACGGTATGATTTAGGCGATGGCGGGGTACTGAGGGGATAAGAATTAAGGCGAGGTAAGGTAAGCTGGGCGCAACTCACAGCACAAGATCTGAAGGAGGATCTCATGGGGGAGCTCGTCCCAGTGACTCGAAGTTTGTGCGCACGATGTCTTTGTCATTGTCATTGATTGATTGCCCTAGTATGACCCTCGAGAAACTCAATGAGCTAAACGTCAGAGTTGTTGTTAAAGTAGAGTTGAACAGAGCTAGAGAGTTAGAGAGCTAGAGAGCTAGAGAGCTGCTTCGGTTGGTCCGTTGGTTGGTAAAGTTAGTCGTGGATCGATTCGACTCGATCGCCACGCTGATTTGCGATTCCTAAACCAAAGTGTGGAGTAGCCAGACGGGAAGAGACTTGGCAAAGCTTGTACTGTATTTTTCGAGATAGATAGATGCTTTCAGTGGGGGGGGGGAGTGCAATAAGTCGTCTTATTAGTGCTACGATGCAAGCGTGACAGCGACATTAACAATGACAGGTACAGGTACAAGTTGGGTTGTGTTGGGTCAAGATCGGGTTGAATCTGATGGGAAAGGGAGCGAGCGAGCGAGCGGGTCGAAGGGGTTGGAACTTGGAAGGATTGACAATGGATGGACATTGTGACATTGACTTGACAATGATTGACTGGGATTGTCGCGATAAGCGATCGGACGAACCGGCAGTTAGAAAAAGGCGCCCTTACGCCTATTCTGACGCCCAATGTCTTAACTACCTTAAGTAGCCAGCCGTGAAATGTGTCAACTGCACGGAAGAGTCTCCAATTGGACGGTTTTCGAGGAGCCAATCTCGATCAAGGTCAACCAAAGTACTAACTGTCTTGACCAGCAGAAGGGAAATGATTATAGCTATAATTCGACAACGACTACGGAGTACCTATACGCAAATCTTTCAAGATTAGAATACTATGCATGGGATCATAAGCTTAGAAGAGTTTATATAGACCAAGGTAGGCTTAGTCTAAACTTTGTCATAATACTATGAGAATTGATCAATATTGCTCATCGACCATTTGTTCGAAAGGATGAAACGACTATTTGTTTGCTATAATTGACGTAAATAGTATAGGCACCTGTGTAGCATTGGAATTTGAGCCAACATCAACTTGGCATCTAGTGCAGACTGGCAATCTCAAACCACGCCTGTAATCACCGCAGCGACTTCATCAGTGCACGAGATATTGTAGGTACCAGACTTCAAATAGCCCAGGGTACATCATATGTGAAGCAGAGATATGTTATTAAACTTTGATAAAAGTAATTAATTGTGCTTCAGTGGTGAGATTGCTTGTTGAGTTGATGTTAGTTTTAAAAAGGACATACTTTAACATCTTGACTCTTCTGACAACCCCAAGGCTACTTTACCCATCTGCTTCAACTCAAAAGATCTCTGTTAATATAAATTAATACAAAGAGCTTATAAACACACTTGTTAAATCCCCCGAAATGTAATTCAGCGTACTCTGGTCACTGGCAGCTGTTGGCACTGCTCCCACCAAAATTTATAGCTACCAAACCTCATCCTCCCAACCTCCCATTTCATTCACTGCGAAGCATAACGAGTTTGGTGCCTCAGTCAACATCTTAAACCCAGGCCGGGGAATTCCCCTCGCTACAGTGAGCGCAGTCGTCTCATTCATCTCTCAATCATCAAACTCTTCGACCCGTTGTGATAAACACCGTTTCCCACACACACCGAAAGTCAACACTGCTTGAAAAAAGACACTCCGCTATAATAAAACTGCGCGCTCTGAAGTTATTTGTTGATCAGTTGCAGAATATATCGGTCTACCTTGAAATAACATCACGCACGTTGATCATCTTCCAGGCTCCTCTCTTTTCTGCGCCTCACTTCACTTCATTTTATCGCACCCTCATTCATACAAAGTTTTATTACTTTCTAGATGCTTGAAGCTCCTTCAAGCTTCAACATGAAACCGCTGTCCGAGAATGTAAGTAACACCCTCTTTCACTTACAAACACTCAAATACTAATGTCAACAGTCGCTTCCATACACTGAGAGCGACAATTCGGCCCGAGATACGCGTCACGGGCGTAACACCACTTCCTCTTCCATCTCATGTCATTCGGATCCTTTTGCAACTTCTGGAATTGAGGTTGAGGATGGTGTTCAGCTACGTGACTTCTCATCTCCCGGTCCAGTCATGTCTCGCTGCATGAGCCCAGACCCAACCAGATTTGTCGCTGAGCGCCCATTACGGCTCAATAATGAGGACGCTGGCCTCGCTGTGCCAAAGATCAATGAGCCTTTAAGCGATGACCATGCCCAATCCGAGTGGGAGACTGTCGCTGGAGAAGATGCCTGTGAAATCCATGCCGGATCTTCAACTCGACCGCTGAAACGTCGAGGTAACTTCAATTTTGGGAACAAACAGCAAGCCCAGTCTCAGCCGAATCAAAACCTCTGGGTACCGCAAACGCACAGCTTTGAGCTCGTCTCACCTGGAGACCCGTCCGTGCGAAATGTGCCGAGATCAGCTCCCCGTTTGCACTCGTTTCACTCCTCATCCAGCTTCTACAGCGAATCACCTCGCAACAAAGACCCAGACACTTGCGTCCCTTGCGATCCCGAGGACTATCCACAGAACAATCATATGTACTCTCGTGCCTCATCCGACAGTGATGAGGACCCTTTCAAGTATGACACAGATGCATACTCGGGCTTTCTACGTTCATCGGCCGAGCGAGAAGTCAGTAATGCGCTGCACCAAGCCGGCTTAGCCGTCTCCTCAAATGAAACGCTCCCGCGATCTACTGATGGAAGCTTTCCCCTCGCTTCACAGAGAGTCGCTCCTGTTGCATCCTTTTACAATGCTGCGGCTATTCATTCGGCTTAGAATGTCGATGAAGAGGTCAAAGTTCCTGTTCATCGGAAGGAAAAAGCGATCCGCCGTGTCCCCGTCCCTGACAGACGACTACAAGGTGAAATTGCTTCTCTTGCCAAGAACCGACCTCTCACCGGTACGGAGGGTGATTGGCAGACTGTCACGACCGAGCATGCCTTCGACTCGATGCAGCAAGACTATCACGACAGCATTGCAAAGGGAACTGGAAGCAGTGTCGCTGATGTATCCGACGTGACGGAGCGTGAGCTTCATCCTCGCTCTTACGGCTCAAGAGACAGAATCATTCGGCATCCTCCTGGTAACAATAAGTACGGCTCTTACCGTGTTCGCACCGACAGAGGAACGAAACTCCCCGTATCTGTCCCGCAGTATGGTGAAGGTCCTGGAACCTATGCCTCAAATACAACTCGCAACTTTTCCCAGGCCAAGTCACGATTACCTGAATCTGCAGCTCGTTTTTCCAATCTGTTTCGCAGGGTGCCATCTGAGCAGACGTCCGGCCATGAGAACATCCTCCTCTCAGACCTGCCTCCCAAGAGAGGCAGCTATCAGAGCCTCGACTCGGACGCAGCTCCTCATGGAAACGCTCAAACCGATGAAACGATTTTTCCAGACGGCGAAAAATACTTTGGCTTCAGTTGGAATAGAATCCGAAAGAACCTCGGTCGTGATCCCCCCAAAACCCCCCTGACTATTTTTGACAAGCCACTGTACAAAAGACGGTTCCAGGAGTCCAACTCGGACAAGCCTGCCCACGTTCCTCATGATGATTTTCTGTCCAAGATTCCTCGTCTTCCGTTTCCTCTTGTCAGTCTTCCCGAGGCTGCAATGCTACAGCAGTTCAAACGACAGAGAGGTGAAGAGGATCACAGTCAGAGTGCAGACAATTTTAAAGTCAGAGGAAGGTCGAACACGATCAGCACTGCAAACTCTCCTCCTCTCCCAAAAACTCCTTCTCCTCCAAAGAGAAGCTTCTGGCCTTCGTCCACGAGTAGCGATGTCACACGACCTGCCCGTATTCTTCACCTTCATCGACTGCCTCAGGCGCATCGTCCACGTGATTGTAAGTTGAAACGCTTTCATATATAAACACAACTGACAAGGTTATAGCAAATGATAGAGTCACTGATATGCTGGTCTCGTCCTCTGCTATCCTCGATACTCCCCCTCCTACCGACCCAAAGTCAAGCACTCATCGTGTGTGGTATCGAAACTTCCAGCCAAGCATTTCAACTTGTCGCACTGGAGCACATACTCCTGGGTTCTCCACCAGCGCCAATAGTCGACGAGTCGGTCATTGCCAGTCTGAGTTTGATCCCCTCGCCGACAGCCCCTTCACTCAGAGGGAGGCTCGCTTCATCGAAGAGGCCCGCGAGGATATTCGCATCCATCGCCAGCATGCTGACATGGTCGCCCAACGAGGAAAGCAAATGTTCATGTGGGTCATGATCCTCACTCTCTTCTTCCCTTTCATCGGCCCTATCGTGCTCTACGGCAAGCTCAACTCGACTATATCGTGGTACACCCATGGAGAAATGCAGTGCCTTACCAAGGACCAGCGCGGTACTCTCAAGCAGCAACTTCTCGTTGAGGCTGTTGTCTACCCCGCAATCATCATCGCCCTTTCAGTGCACTACTCGATTTGAAGGTCCAAATCGGAATCTCTCATGGCAAAGGTGGATTTTGGGATCGATTTTAGATGTATTTGGGAAAGCAACGTCAGCGAATTTGGCAAGGCAACGATGTACATAACGTGGTGGGATGAGAAATGATTGGGACTTAGGCATAGGCCTTGGGACATGACTGGTTTTGTGGTCTTTTGGCTTCTATACCTACTGGTTGGTGTTTACACCGTTTCACAATCACCAAAAGCAACATGCGTGGGAAGACCAGTTGACTCGGAAAGAGGTGTAGCTTATCTCACCAAAGCTTTTGGAATTGCTCAAAATATAAGCATATATTAAGGTCGTCCTCGATGCTTGGTGACTTACGTGCCGTGTTATTGAACTCGGGCACTGCAGCAGTTATGGTCAGGAATCACTGCCAATCAACCGCTGGTTTCATCAAAATGAGTTCAAGGCTTCAGGGGTCACAATGATGCCATGAATCTTCACCTAAGCCGTCACCTGTGAACTGAGATAGAAAGTAGTGAATGTGACATGTGTGGCAATATGACAGATCTCTATTCTTAAATCACGATCGTGACATCTGGAATCTCAGATCGGCAATTCCTCTCCCCTCAGAGAAGTGTCCTTTGGCTGGTCGTGAGCCTATAGACTCATAGCACCAAGCCTCAGTACCATCTCACTCCATTAAATTGATCCTACTATGCTGCATTCATACTCATCAAAGCAGCCACTTTCCTCCCCAAGACTTATTTCTTGCCAGAGTCGGACGAGTGAGTGTAGCCGCTGGGAGACGTGTAGGTTGAGCTACCTTGACCATCGTTGTGGTAAGTGCTTCCATTGGGGTTGGAGTAATAGTAGGAGCCATCTCTGGATAGAATGTTAGCACTTGATATGCATCTTGGTCAGTTCACACCTACGTGTTGGAGTAATGATAAGAGTTCGAGTTGGAGGCACTAGAACCGTAGTCTCGAGCGCAATAATGGTTGCCCTGAGATGTTAGCGGTGACACAATTAGGTGTGTAGATGACGGTTCTAACCTGGCTGTTGGTGCCAGAGCTCTTGGTGGTGTAGTCCTTGGGCATGTTTACTCGTTTGAGGAACAAGAAGATGGAAGTGGTTTCGTTACTCTGAGGTTCTTGCGAGAGTCACTATCGAAAGTTCAGAGGGGCTTTAGTCTAGGGAAGTCGAGCATTTTATAGTGAGGGGGGATTGTCCCAAACGATGCCATGCCGTATTCACATCCATGTTTAGTTATCTCTTGTGATGAGTTCATTGGTGGTTTGCCTATTGCAACTACTAAAGAGACACAAGCGAGGAAATCGTGTACCCCGCTTGTCGTCGAAGTTGCTGGGGAAGCTCGACTTGGGTTGGTTGATATGAGCAATTGAGTTTCTCGTTAATTAGCGTCAATAGTTCAAAACAAGATAACAGAAGATTAGTGCTAGTGTGGCATAATATGGGTTTTACATAGAGCATACAGACAGAGTAAAGCACAAACAACACAAGATTGAGTAAGCCGTAGGAACCTTGCTTCGTTGCGGCTGCGGAATCACTCTATGAAGGATTTGCGTTTCTTGATGAGATCATTGCTTCAATCTTCTCCTGGAAACTTGTGGTTTATGTGTGCTTACTGTCAAACCGGAAATTCCGGTCTGACCTAGGTTTGTAATATGCATAGGGTAAGTCAACATTTGCGAAGTCAAACTTGACATCGGAGGGACAAACAAGGCTGTTTTATTGGCTATTCCCTCTTATATTCCGCAAAAAGGTATGCAGTTAGGTCATATTTTCTGTAGTTCTAGACCAAGTTGTTGTATGTAATTTGGTCCGAGTGCAGTTTCACGCCGTATGTTTGCTTTGTAAGTGAAGAGGATGCTGCAATCTGCTTCTTTGGAACTGCCACACGATTCTGGACAACACACATATAAAGCCAACAAGCCAGCTTCTTTTCCTGTAAAAGTTTGAAGTAGCTATCAACCGCTAAGAATATTATTTGCTGAACCAAACACTTAGTTTCATACAACTTTATAATAGCCAACACTGTGATGGCACCCAAAATTTTGCTGTAAGTACCAATCATACAACTCTTTGTATAATATATAATCATTAAGAAAACTAACTTATCTCTCTAGTACTGGAGTCACTGGTAAGAATGGTCCCTTGAGCGGAACTTGTCCAAACTGACGCTTACCAACAGGCTTTGTTGGAGGCACTGCCTTTGCCAAGATACACGATGCCCACCCAGATTATGACTATACCCTCTATATCCGTAGTGAAGATCGCGCAAAGATTATCTCGAAGAAGTACCCCAAGGTCAGATTCGTGTATGGAGACCTTGCAAGTACCGATGTGATCGAGAAGGCGGCATCTGAAGCTGACGTGGTTGTTCGTAAGTTCAACATACCTCAAGAATAAGACGAGAACCATGACTTACACTTGCGAATAGATACGGCAGAATCTGCAGACTCACTTCCAGCGGCAAAGGCAATCGCAAGAGGCCTTGCCTCTGGCCATTCAAAGGAAAATCCGGGATACTACATTCATCTTTCAGGAGCGGGTATCCTGACCTGGTATGATCTCAAGAATCAGCGCTATGGCGAACCACCTCTACCAGAGCAGAGTTACCATGATATAAATGACATTGATCGCATTTTAAATCTTCCTGATGAAGCGATCCACAAGGATGTGGACAATGCTGTTCAGAGTATCGACTCAGGTATCGTCAAGTTCCTCATTGTATCACCTGGTGTCATCCACGGAACTGGTCTGGGGTTGTTCAATACGACTAGCATGACAGTTCCAGGCTTGGCTCGAGCAACATTTGATCTTGGCTACACCCCTTTCGTTGGAGCTGGAAAGGCAAAATGGGACTACGTTCATGTGGAGGACCTTGCAGACTTTTTCGACAAAGCTGTCGAAGCAACCCAGGATCCCTCCAAGAAAGAAGACCCTGAGATTTGGGGTAAGAAAGGGTACTACTTTGTCAGTGGTGGTCAACACCAATGGAAAGACCTGGCAACCTGGGTTGCCGACGAGGTTCATCGTCAGGGGTATATACCCAAGTCTAGTACTCAGTCTGTTACATTTGAAGATGTAATCAAGAATGGCTACAAGGCTGGAATTGCGTGGGCCATTAACTCTAGGGGGGAATCGGAGAGAGCGAGGAAGTTTCTGGGATGGGAGCCTAAGGCCCCGTCTCTCAAAGACACAGTTCGTGAGTCTGTGGTTTGGGAGGCCGAGATTCTCGATCTGAAGCCCAAGTACAAATGAGACATAGGACAGACAGTAACTTTTTGTAACTCGGTACCGATTTTAGGGCAATAGTTCTTGAGCAACTGTGGGCTTGATGACGTTTGCGCAGATGTCATGACGTACCGCTCTCATCCTGGGATTTATGAAGCAATTCGCAGAATTCACGCAGAATCATTTAGTACAATCAACAGATTACATTTGGGAATGACCTCAACCATAGTGGCAATGTATCACCATACCAGTTCTCAAAAGATGCCTGGGCGTTGATCTCTCTTCATAGTCTTATCACATACTGGACTTCAACACCGTAGGTCGAACTATTGGCCGCCATTCTAAGCCAACAAGCATAATCTCGTTTTTACGAGTATGTCTCAGCACGCATTAGCTCACCTTCATTGGCATCCTTATTGTGACATAGCACAGTCCGATGGCCTGAGAGGTGTCTCCTGAGGTATCACGTGAGGTTTCTTCTATCATGCTGTAGACTGATCAATCCTTTGACGTGTATTCCTCGAAGCAACCACTCCTTCGCTGCTCCATATCTAATTCAAGGCTTAACCAGATAATGCTGAAGTTTCAAAAAGCCAATTCTGTTACCAAGTTCCAGATATAATAGATAGCTAGAACAGCCTCTACATTAATCTGATATTATAAGAGTAGTTTATAAGTTATTTTAAGGTCACTAAGAGTCGCCATTTATCAGATAGTAAGTCGACAAGAGGTACTACGATAGGACTGGTGGCTGCAAGTGGGCAAGTTAATAATTCGTACTTACAAGCCGTTCAAAGACGTCGCAAGGCACGAGGGTCCGTGGTAGGCTAGTAGGATCTGAATTTGGTGTTTTATTAGCTAACATTCCTGCGATGCTTGGATGATTTGCAGTGTCTGTTGTAGCGAGTCTTGTTTTGACAAAACACCACAAGGTGCACACGAAAAGTCTTTCTCGCCACGTTCGACACGGCGAGGGTGAAGAGGCGTTTCAAAATGCTTTTCCAGCTCACCGGAGCTGGTGTAAGACTTCTCACACAAGTTTCAATAGTGTGTCTGGTTCGCCACAGCTTCCTCTCTCTCTCTGTCTTTTCTTGCTCTTATACCTCCGAGCATTGATCTTAGTTCGTTTGGCAAAAAAACTCTGGAGTAGGGTTTGCACGCTGTCGTATGTTGTCGGCCTTGGCCCACTCACGAAGGCGCTCGTTTTTGCGAAGCCGTCTCAGCAATTCCAGCAAGTTCCTCAACACTGTGCTCGATGCCAGGGATAGCCTCTAAGAGAGGACTGTCAGAGCACAGCCCAGACCAGGGTAAATCTTCGATGTGCCAGATTGTATGATCGCGAAAAAAACTGCATGGTTCAAAAAATGGTGTGGAACGCAGTCTCGAGGGCCAGAAAACAGCAAACCTTGCTGTGAGGTATTAGAATAAACTTAGCAAAAGGTATCCTAAACCTATGCTAAGTTACCTAAGTCTTTTTAACATTTAGGATCGAGGTCCTGAGTTTTCTTTCCTCCCCTTGGCGTGTAGTCCTCGAAGTAACCACTGCTTCATATCTAGTTGATAGTCCAAGACTTAACCAAAGACAATGCATAACTAGGACAGCTTTGACGGTGATACAACGTTACAAGAATGGCTCATGAGTTGTCTCAAGGTCACGAAGAGTCGTCATTCGTCAGATAGCGAGTCAGACAGATACTATGATGGAACTGGAGGTTGCAAGCGAGTAAGTGAATAAATTCGTAGGCGCCGCAGCTCCGAAAGCGGCAAAAATAGTA